GAGACTTTATCTTTTAATTTTTTTATGTTCTGGTGATTTTTAAAAAGTCGTATTTATTGAGGTATAATTTATATACAGTAAAACTCAAATGGTTTGATAAAATTGGTTGAACACAATCAGGTCATCCCCTTCACAATCAAGAAAAAAGAAAATTTCCAAAAAGCTCTCTTCTGCCCGTTCTGTGACCATCTCCCCCCACCCTTAGCTCCCGGGGACCACTAATGGAGTTTCTGTCCCTATAATTATGCCTTTCCCAAAATGTCATAGAAATGGAGTAATACAGTATGTAAACTGCATCTGGCTTCTTTCACTTGGTATAATACTTTTATGATTCATCAGTGTTGATGCATTTAAGAGTAATTTGTTCTTTTTAATTGCTGAGCAGGTTTCTAGAGTATGGGTATACCACAGTTTTGCCAATTACTAGCTGAATGACCTTCGTTTCTAGTTCTGGGTGACTTTGAATAAAGCTGCTATATACATCTAGAACTTTATCTTTTTAGGAAAGATTTATAGGAAAGTAAATAACTTTGATTTATGGGAAACCAGAACTGTATAAGCTGGAATGATCATAGAGGTGGGAGTTATTTCCTTCTTAATTAACAAGGAGAAATACTTATTTTCCTAACATGCTATATTTTTGCATAGAAATTCCTAGTTTATACAAGGCAGTTTCACTCACCTTATTTTTGTAATTATCTCAGTAACCCTGAGAAATAGATTGGGAATCTTACCCCATTTTACAGATGGTGACTGAGAAACCTCCCTGCAGTACAGACTGCCTAACTCTTGATCTGGTGTCCTTCCCCCAAACATTCTCTGAACATCCTCTCTGTGCAGAACAGTCTGCTAAATGCTTTTGGGGTGGTCACAAAAGCAACATAAAATTTATTTTTTCCCCATCAAGAGGGGACAGTCTGATGCTCCACATCATGTCAGCAGGTAAATGTAAATTAAAACAACAATATACTGTTACACACCTATTAGAAGGGCCAAAATCTGTAACACTGACAGCATCAAATGCTGGTGAGGTCGTGGAATAGCAGGAACCTCATTCATCACTGATGAGAATACCGAATGGTGGCGCTACTTTGGAAGACAGTGTGGCAGTTTCTTACAAAACTAAACATACTCTTACCATATGATCCAGTCTTCATGCTCTTTGGTATTTACCCAGAGGAGTTGAAAACTTATGTCCACACAAAAACCTCCACGCAGATGTGTGAGGCAGCTTTATTCGTAATTGCTAGAACTTGGAAGCGACCGGAATGTGCTTCAGTGGGTAAATGGATAAATAAACTGTAGTACATCCAGACGATGGAATAGTATTCAGTGCTAAAAAGAAATGAGCTCTCAAGCCACGAAGAGGCATGCAGGAAACATAAATGCATCTTACGAGGAGAGAGCCAGTCTGAAGAGACTACGAACTGTATGATTCCAACTATGTGACATTCTAGGAAAAGCAAAACTGTGGAGACGGTACAGAGATCAATGGTTGCCACGATGTGGGAGGGGGTTAGTAGGCAGAGCCCAGAGGATTTTTTACAGCAGTGAAATTACTGTATGACACCAGGATGATGGATATATGTCATTATAATGTGTCTAGACCCATGTCATGTACGACATCAAGAGTGAACCATAATGTAAACTATGGGTTTTGGGTAATTAAGAAGTGTCAGTGTAGGTTCATCGATTGTAGCAAATATGCCGCTCTGGTGGGAGGTATTGGCAGTGTCTGCATATGCGGGAGCAGGGAATATATGGGAAATCTCTGTAACTCCCTCTCAGTTTTGCTGAGAATCTAAAACTGCACTTAAAATAAAATCTTTTAGAAAGGAGGTGGGAGAAACAGTCTCAAATGGAACCAGGACGGACACATCTGCCCCAGGCTTAAGAGGAATGCTAAGCTAGAGACAACTAACACAAGCACAAGAAACAAACAATCTATGAGGCTTGCTCTGGTCCTTTTCGGAAGCAGACGGGGCATAAGTTATAAGAAGTAAATCCCACCCAAGGCTGCTGGGAGTCAGAAGAGAACAGTGACAATCCCTGGGTGCTTGAAGGCAAGGGGAATTCCCCAAACAGTGATGTTCCAGAGAAGACAAGAAACTGATCTTTAGGATAAGGGAAAACCTTCCTCCTTAGTTCCCAAGTTAGAGAAAACAATTACCAGGCAAGACTTTCTTTGAACTCCGTCAAAATTTGACCAGGATAATGACTGGCATTAAGCACGGGAGAATAAAAGTGGAGAATGTTCTCGTAGGCCTGGAATTACCAGAATTGTTTTATGTTGAGACCAGCGTTTCTGATGTGGCTCTTGAAAAAAAAAAAAAAATCTGTCAATGAGATTCTGTTCTTCAAAAAAATAATTTTACTTTCTCAGTGCTGCTTTTGGTGGCATTTGCCTGTCAGACCTCCCACAAGTTGGCCTCTTTCTGTTCTGATAAGATGGCTGTTGACCAGCTGTCACTCCAGCCAGAAACGACATGGGCTCCTGCTGCAATTGGCCAGCAGTGGTGAGGAGGGGAAGGTTGGGCTTTTGTGCCTCATCTGTATGCGCCTCCTCTGCCAGATATAGTAGGCACTGTTTGCCAAACCCATTATGAGGCCAGAAAAGCTTACCCAGCCTAGATCTCCAACCGAGAAATCTACCTAGACAGTGCCCTTGCTGGAAACTTTGCCTCTGGGTCTGTCCTCCAAGCAGGTCATCAAATGCCATTCCAGCCCAGAGCCTCCTCCCATAGCACCTGATCTGTGGGACCTTAGAGGCCCAGGCACGTGAAAGAAAGAAAGGCTGAATTCTTACTGCCACTTATAAAGGAAAAAATAAGAGTAGAGTTTAATGATTTTTAAAATGGCTACATAAATGGGGCTGTACCATGTAATATTTAGGAATTCAGGCTTTAGGGCAAAACTGCTTGGATTTGAACACTGGCTCTGCCACTCTCCAGCTGTAAGTGACTCTTGGCAAGTCATTTAACTGCTCTGGGCCTCAGTTTCCTTAACCGTAAAATGGGGAAAATAGTGGCCTCTACCTTTTAGAGTTGCCATGAGGATTAATGAGTTAATTTTTATAAAGGGCTTAGAACACTGCATGGAACATAATAACCTATACATCTGTGTTTGTTAAATGAAAATAATGGACATTTCCCTAACTCCTGTTCTTGACATTCCCCCACCCCCCAACAAAATCAAGCTGAATACATGTACCTAATCTTTTCCTTCTGTCTCTTTTTTCTTAACATCTGTCAGCTTTACCTCTTCATGTCAGTTTCCTAGGGCTGCCATAACAAATTACCCTAACTTTGTAGCATAAAACAACAGAAACTTATTCTCTCACAGTTCAGGAGGCTGGAAGTCCAAAATCAGCAAGTTTGGTTTGTGTTGGACACTCTGAGGGAGAATTCTTTTCATACCTCTCTCCTAGCTTTCGGTAGTTCCTGACAATGTTTGGCATTCCTTGGCTTGTAGACCCATCACTCCATCCTTAGCTTTCATTATCACTGCATTCTGCCTGTGTCTGTGTCTTCACATGGCCTTCTTATAAGGATACTAATCGTTGAACTTAAGACCCACCTTATTCCAGTGTGACCTCATCTTAAACTAATTACATCTAAAAAGATCTTATTTCCAAGTAAGGTCACATTCTGAGGTTCTAAATAGATAGGAATATTGAGGGGACTCTAGTCTACCCAGCTCACCCTCTTAAAAGTTTTAGGGTGTTTTTACATCTGTTATCTCTTTTTATTCTTACTCTCTGTGTTAGTATGTAAGCTCCATGAGAGTAGGGACAGTATCTTTTTAAGTATAGTCTGAGGCAGCCGGCATTGCTTAATGGGTTTGCTAGGCCACCTCAAGGGACTGGAGAGACATGGTGCCATCAGGCTGGGTGTGGGAAGGTGATATTTGAGGTAGGAGAGTCACTCAGAAGGAGAGAGAAGGACAGGATGGAAAAAAAAAAATCCCATCCAAAGAAATAAAAACAGAAAAAGGTCAGAGATCCCAAATATTGTAATATGGTATATCTGGAAGTACTACCAACAAATATGAAACAGCCAGAGTCAGAAAGAAGGTGCGGGATGAGAGAGAACAAGGTTTATATCACAGGTCAGAGGAAAAGGAGATGGGGCTTCCTCAGGGCAAAGCCTGCAGCATATCTCCTCTGCGGGGATTAGGGCCCCTGCTACCAGTGTGGTTTCTTCTAGAGCCAAGGGATCCAACTGGAAAGAACCAGCCCTCTTCAGATACCTGAGGTAGTCTGAGGTGGTAGAACATCTTCAACCCATCATGCCCTTGAGGGTCATGGAGAGTGGAAGAAGAGATGTGACCACCAGGACAGACCCTTCAGTATTTTTCCACTCAAGTCATGAGCTGTTTGGTAGAGAAGTATTTAGGTATTTATCAACATGAGCTAAACTGACTGGACAATGAAAAGCTGCGATTATGAGAGTCCTCAACCTAGTGGAACATGTAGTCGATCTTTTCCATGACAGCATTATTGGTTATCGACCCACAAACATCAGTGAACAGGACTACAGGATGAAATGAAAGGACAGACATGAGTAAGGGGCAGAGATGTGGAAGAAAGGAGTAGACCTTATCCCTCCTTTTACTTCCCTGGTGGTACAACTGAAAAGGAAATAGGAAAACCATGCAGTTGTCCAACCAGAAGCCCTATCCTGGTACACTTAAGCTCCCTGTTTGACTAACACAATCATTGAGACAGAGCTTATCCGAATTATCAAGTCACCAAACTAGTAGGGAGTCCAGTCAGGACAGTTAACCACTTCCCCTATTTTCTACAATTAGGCCCTCTCCAGCCACACTGTATTAAATCTTAAAAATAAGCCCTGGATCTGTTGCTGAGGTTTATCGTGTTGGTGCCTTGAACCGTGAGACAAGTGTGGGTTTCCCTAGCCACACTGTGTCACCCACTTGGGTAGTGAATCCAGGTGTGGGCGCATAAGTTTGATAAGTTCCTCCTTTGTTTCATTCCACAGGGCACCCTTCAGACCAAAGCAGTGATCTGCAGCCCACTGTCACAGGGGAAAGCAAGGGAGGTGTCCAGGATCAAGACCACTGTGAACCTAGTGACCACACAGGTGAGGTCATTAGAGTTTGGGGATGGGTGTCTTGTATTCAGAGACATTCCAGAGAAGGTTCCAGAGATGGTTCCAGAAATGGAAATGACCACCTGATATGGACCCTCTGTTTTTCTATAGGAGACAGCTGGTTAAATTCAGGGGCAGCCTTACAGAGGATCCCAACCGGTGATTTCACAAAAGGGAAAGAGTAGACAGAGATACTCTCAGCTTCCCTGCAGCTTCCCCCTCTGCCCACTGACCTGTTTACTGGGGAAACTGGTCTAGTTGTGGCTCTCCTTACCTATTGCCTCTCCTCAACTCCCCCCTCTTGGAGTGGACGTGGACACATTTCTGTCTGATCTACCTTGGTTCGGCTTCTCAAGAAGGTCTTTCTATGACTGTCACATTGATACATGGATCTCAAACTATAAATGCAGAACATTTATGGTGGGGAGGAGCACCATGGACAAGAAATTAAAACTTGAGTACCTGGTCTAAGCCTCCCTCCATTAGTTAACACCATTGTAAAATGAGAGCATTTGATGGACTAAACCAGTTTTTTTTAAACATTTAAAAAATACCAGAATCTTTCCTTTTTGCAGTTTGAAGTTTTTGGACTTCTGCTGAAAGAAGCTGTGATTTTCGAAAATATGGCCTTTAATGCTAATGCCAGCATTTTCTGAAACATAAAGATGAGTTGCTCTGAATTTCACAGTAGAGTTTGCATTTTATCTGCCAGGCCCAGTGAAGAATTTCTGGGCACTTCCCACTCCTTTGGAACCTGCCACCCAGCCTCTGTTTAGGAAATACAGAACTGGGACTTTACCTTGGAGCAGGGAAGTTAGGGAGTGGTAAGAGGGGGAGCCCAGGGAGCAACAGGGTTTCCTGAATTTGAGGAGACTTGGGGATGGAAATAACCACACACTTTCCATTTTCAGAAACAGGATGCCTAGCTGTTACTGACTCATGGCCTTGACACTTTCTACTTAGTAGAAGTCACAAATAGGAGGTCTTCCAGTTGTAATCACCATGAAGGTGTGTTTTGTTTGGGCAGACACAGTTTAACAAAACTTTGAACCCAAACGTCTTCATGTGGGGTGTACATTCTCTGGTTCACACAAACCCCACCACTTCCCACCCTCTTTGCCTGACAGTGCACACATTTATGTTACCTGGGATGCCCCAAAGGCATTTGAGTTTACACTGCCTGCTCCCATGTTTTCAGCCAAATGCCTTTCCATCTTATTCCAAAATGGTCCAGTGGAGAATTGGCTTGACTTTCCTGGGAAATATGAATGGCTCATTGAGTTCAATCCAACTTTGGAAGGATTCAACTCCTTCAGAGAAGTCTCTCCTCGAACTGATTCATTTCATTGAACCGAAACACTTAGGGATGTACCTCTAAGGAAAAGAGCCCCATCTGGAGAAGCCTCTGTTGCCCCACCTGTATGGACCTCAGGTCAGCTATGCAAGCTCATCATTGAATTTTTACTGCCATCTCACTGCTCTTATTCCTTCACTTACTCTCTCCACTTTGAGTGACCACCCTATTTTACCTTTCTGGTTCTCTCTGTATCTTCGTTTCTCCAATCTCCTTGTTCAGTAATTAATTTGCCAAAGATATGCCAGATGATTCCAACTGTCACCAGGACATACTTAAAAATATTTCACAATTTTGGGTTTGCTTTCAACTCAATAGTTTGGCCTCCTTCTTATTTAAGTTTATGTTTTTACTCTGACTCAAATCCTTCTCCCTGCTCTTCAGGCAAAGCTGGGGGATGGAGGAACAGACTTCATCTAATCTTTATTAAGAATATTCTGAAAGTTTTCTGTTTGATTTTTATATTTCAAATAACTCCTAAAAATCAATATTTTGATGACTGAAGTGTAAATGAATAAGAAACATGGAGTAAGTTTTCCCTTCAATTACATGAACAGAAATTCTGTGGGTTTTTATTGGGAACCCAGGCAAAGTAACTGGGAACATTTGCTAAGTTCCAGGGAAAGATGGTGAAGCTTCTTCTCAGGAGGCAGACGTAGCACTTTTCTCTTGAGAGTCCCAAACCAAAAGGGGCTTGGTGATCTTTTCTGGCTTTGCTCTTTCCTCTCTGAATTACTGTTAGGCTGTTACTCCTTCTCTTTATTCCGAAGATCTCAGATAGGTGGAGACAACAGCAATCTCAGCTTTCCACCTGGGTGACACCATCTGGGCTTTGATCAGTGTGTGGTAGCTATTGGTTCTGCCAAATTGGGCCAGAGCACAGGGGTAAAGATTATTCCTGTCAACGTTCCTTCTTAATAAGGAAGCAGAGTTATTTATGCCCCTGAAGTAGGCTCCTCTTTCTCCTTTTAAAGTCAGTTCTTGCTTTTATGTTGCTTGTCACAGTATTATAAGTGAGCTTAGGCCAAACAGTGTTTTAGAATCTCCAGGAGGGGGAAACCTGCCTGATCCTCTCACTAGAGGAGTTGGTCAGTCAAGGGATGGCAGGGAAGGGAAGGATGGGAATCAGTTAATGAAATTCTGGAAGGCTGCAGCTATTTTTCTTGATTTCTTTTGCTTCTTCTTTCAACGTTGTTTCACTGTTTGGTCGTAATGTTTTTGTGTGTAATAATAAAAATATAATAATGTTCCACTTAAAATTTTATCTTTATTCTTTTGGTGTTTATGGCAATAATAATAACAATAACAGATGGTCTTATCTATCACTGATAGCTCAAAGAATTACATTTCTTTTACACATGAGATATTTATGTTTAAGGGACCAAACTAATAACACAGAATCAGAGCTTACCCTTCCCAGAATAGACAACATAAAACAATTGATTTATATATTTCTTTTTCTGTACTCTTTGTCATGCTATATGTTCAATCATCATAACTTCAACCTTATAAGTTTTTTAAAGATTTATTTATTAGAGAGAGCGAGAGAGAGAAAGAGCCCCAGGATGGGGGAGGGGAAGAGTAGAGGGAAAAGGAGAGAAGAGTCTTAAACAGACTCCCCACTGAGCACAGAGCTCGAGGTGGGGCTCCATCTCACAAGCCTGAGATCATGACCTGAGCTGAAACCGAGAGTTGAATGCTTAACCAACTGCACCACCCAGGCACCCCCAACCTTATACATTTTATGCATCTTCTGTAGTATGTCACAGTTGCCAAGTTTACAGATATCTTCATGTTTATATTTTGGCTTGGCTGCTTTTAGATGACCTGAAATAAGGATAGCAAATAGATGCACTCTCTCCCCTATCCCAACTGATTAGTAGTGACTATGTGAAACTAATTCTTAGCCCTGGCCAAACGGTAAAATCATCCAGAGAGCTTCTTAAAATTAACGCAATCCTACCCCAGGACAATTTCAGAATCTCTAGGAGCTGGGTTTAGGCACATTTAAAATCTTCCCAGGTGATTTGAATATACAGCGCAGATTAAGAATCATTGATCTGGAGCAGTGTCTGTCAAACTTCAGCATGAATCCAGATCACCTTGAGGGCCTATTAAAAACAGGTTGCCAGAGGTTTGGGGTCAAGATGGCAGAGAAGTAGCAGGCTGAGACTACATCAGGTAGCAGGAGATCAGCTAGATAGCTTATCAATCCATTGTGAATACCTACAAATCCAACAGGAGAGGGGAACCTGAGTGGCTCAGTGGATTAAAGCCTCTGCCTTTGGCTCAGGTTATGATCCCAGGGTCCTGGGATCGAGCCCTGCATCGGGCTCTCTGCTCAGCAGGGAGCCTGCTTCCCTTCCTCTCTCTCTGCCTGCTTCTCTGCCTACTGTGATCTCTGTCTGTCAAATAAATAAATAAAATCTTAAAAAAAAAAAAAATCCAACAGGAGACCAAAGAGAAGAACAGCAACAATTCTGGAAACAGAAAAGCAACCACCTTCTGAACGGTAGGACCGGTGGAGAAGTGAATCCAAAGCGACGGGAAGATAGACTGCAGGGGGAGGGGCCAGCTCCCGCAAGCAGCAGAGTGATGGAGCACAAAATCAGGACTTTTAAAAGTCTGCTCCATTGAGGGATATTGCTCCAGAGGCTAAACTGGGGTGAAGCCCATGCGGGGTCAGTGTGGCCCCAGGTCCCGTGGGGTCACAGAAGGATCGGGGGTGTCTGAGTGTCGCAGAGCTCGCAGGTATTACAGCAGGGAAGCCAGCTACAGAGACAGAGCCGAGGAGTCAGCTCTCAGCTCAGGGTCACCTTGAACTGGTCACAGGCTGGGTGACCTTGGAGTGCAGCCAGAGGCCAGGGACACGGGAGTGATTGAATTGTCTCTGAGGGTGCACTGAGGAGTGGGGCCCCGAGCTCTCGGCTCCTCCAGGCCGGAGACTGGGAGGCCGCCATTTTCATTCCCATCCTCCGGAACTCTACGGAAAGCATTCAGGGAACAAAAGCTCCCGAAAGTGAACCCGAAAGGATTACTTAGCCCGGCCCCTGGTTAGGGCAGTGCGATTCTGCCTGGGGCAAAGACACTGGAGAATCACTACAACAGGCCCCTCTTCCAGAAGATCAACAAGAAATCCAACCAAGACCAAGTTCACGTACCAAGGAGAACAGCAGGATTTCAGAGGAGGAGAAAGCAAAGCATGGAATTCATGGTTTTCTCCCCATGATTCCTTAGTCTTGCAGTTAATTTAAAATTTTTTAACTTTATTTTTTTTCTTCTTCTAAATTTTTTAAAAACTTTTACCCTTTCCTCTTTTAATGTTTTTTAACTAGTTTATCTTAACAATACTTTTCATAAAAAAAAAAATACTAATCTTTTTTGAACCTTCATTATTATAGTCATATTTTATCCTTCATTGTATCTAACTTTATTTTTTGTATACACATAGGGTTTTTTCTTCTAAAAAATCTGGAGTACAACTTCTTCTAATAGATCAAAATATGCCATAAATCTAGCTCTGGGCTTGTTCTAGTCTCCAACCTGAGCAAAATCTCTCCACTTTCTTTTTCTTTATTCTCCCAACCAACTTACTTTATCAACTCCTTTTTTAGAAATTAAAAAA